TCTGAGCAAAAGTGGGCATAAAACTAAGGATATAAAAGATTATAAACCTTGGTATGAAACAGGAATTCCTAAGTTCAGTAAATATAGAAGGGATGTCATTATTTCATCTGATATGTGTGAAGAGAGTTGTGAAATTGGAAAAATCGCCATCTTCAAACAGTCTTCAAGAATTAATGTTAAATCTTTAATTAATGTTAAAGGGGTGGGAAGAGGTATGATAAGGAACAGAACAATCACACAAAGTGTCTCTCCATAGACTGCTTATTAGTTACAAAAGATAAAATAATAACTTGTCAACAGAGAGATCTGCATAAAGAATTAGGAAGAGAAATAAAAGCTAAATTAAAATTTAATAGCGCAGATCTTGAAGTCAGAGAGCTGGGAGTTCTAGACCAGGCTTTGCCACTTAATATGAGTATGTATTATTTCAAAGAAAATTCTCCTCATTTGTTGGAAATTTCTTCTTTAGTAGCAGCAATTGACATTTTATCCAACATATATCTTAATAACTGTTGAGAAAAGGTTGACATCTAATTGGCACAGAAGAGCAAATCAGGGTCAGAATGTTAATTCCATAGGTTTTTAAAACTCTTATGGTAATCAAAATGTTTTGATTCAGTCTATTTGCCCATTCTAAGAAAATCTAGAATGGGAACTTGAATTCAAGTTCAGAAAAATGATCACAGGGTCAAAGAGATGTTTGATGTTCCCAGGAAGTCCAAAATGCTCAGAGAAAGGAAAAGCTGATCTTGAATTTTGTGCTTAGCCTGGTTAGTTTTACTTCTAAACAGTGACTTACTCCTTTTTGATTACCTCAGAATGTGCATCTTGTTTTAACATTGCACTTTGATGAAAAATTGGTTGTGTCTCCCAGCCTATCATTCTCCCAGGCTGAAGGTTGCCTAGGTACCCAAGATCTTACGGAGTTTTACTATATTCATAGTAATTAGGCAGGCTATGCTGAGTTTAACAGCACAAACTCTAGAACTAGAGGCCTGGATTCAAGTCCCAGCTCCACTACCACCTACTATGTGACTATGGGCAAGTCACTCCTTGAAGCTTCAATTTACTGTTACTGAACCAATGTCATAGGGTGGTTATAAGCATCAAGTGAGTTAGTGCATACAGAGTTCATTTGAGGACTGAGAATGTAGCTCTAGGGTGCTTGCCTAACATGTAAGAGGCCCTGTGTTCAATCCCTAGCACTGAAAAAAAAAAAAAAATTCGCTTGATAAGTTAATATGCACCATACACTTAATACTAGCAGTAACAAAATTGGTTAAAAAAAATCAGGTACTTTTTCCATTATTAAAAAATTGGGTCTATGATTTTTATAGCTCTACACAGGTGCCCTGGGATGCTTTTAGTGCAGCTTCATTCCTCACTTCACAATATTTTTTTGTAAGTCACAATTGTGTCACCTGGTATTAAAGAATTTTCACCAACACTTATAATTTATTTACTTATACAAAATTAATTTAAGTTAAAAAATTAAAAGGACATACAATCTAGTATTTGCTTCCTTTTACATTATAATTTTTATGCTTTAGAACATCTTCTATTGATTTAGTTTGGAAATATTAACTTTAAAGACTTTAAAGCACTTTTGAATGTCAGGTTGGCACATCTAGTTAGCAATATGAAATCAGCATGATACAAATATTCCATGTACTACACCTTTTCACTTGAGGTGGTTTTAGAAACAAAACCCTACCATCTGTTTATATATGCTTTATCAATGACTATATATTTTGTGGAATCTTCCTGAAAAATAATACAAATATCCTTGACTTCCAAAGTGAAGAGCTTTTTTTCTCTACAGAAAAGTTTAAACTAGTTATGTCCCATACTGTCCCAAGTTTCCTGAGATATTGTAACAAAGTAAACTGTTTTTTTTTCTTTGTAGATTATACAATTTTTCCCACATTTGCCACAATTGTGGTTTTGAATAAAATAAGGTACCAGCTATGATGTGAAAATTAGGTCACTCTGTTAACTCAACCAGTTACATAGCACTTGAAATTAAATGGCTGAGAAGACACAACATCTGAGATGTATCCAAGTGATTGGTGTACAACAGAAAGGTGAAAACCCAGAATCCTTAAATCCAACCTGAGATTAATTGAGGAGAGGTTACATTTAAGAGGGAGTCAATTTTAAGATTAAGAATTCATTAGTTTAGGGCTGCAGTTGTAGCTCAAAGGTAGAGTACTTGTTTAGCATGTGTGAGGCACTCACTGGGTTCAGTCCTCAGCACCCACATAAAAAAATAAAGGTATTCGATGGCACACGACTGTAATCCCAGCAGCTYGGAGGCTGAGGCAGGAAGATCATGAGTTCAAAGCCAGCTTCAGCAATTGTGAGGTACTAAGCAACTCAACGAGACCCTATCTCTAAATAAAATACAAAATAGGGCTGGGGATGTGGTTCAGTGTTGCCCCTGAATTCAATCCCCAGTATCAAAAAAAAAAAAAAAAAAAAAAAAATCGACTTCCAACTTGAACCAAACTCATTTTGCTTTCATGAGTCCTAGTCTAATGCATTCATTAAACATAAGTATCCAGAACCTCTTCGGTTGTATACTCCAAGTGAATAATCTGGGGCCACGGTTCCACATCAAAATCAAGAGAATTTCAAAGTACTCTCCATCTCTCTCACTTGTGGTCTATTTGAGCTGAAGGGCAAGGAATATGATGAAAGATAGCATACTGTAAATAACACACGATTTTATCTATGGAAGTCTTAATATACATGCTGAATTGGAGAAAAGGAAAAAAAAATCTAGGCTACAGGTTAGGTTCCAGTACTCAAAAATGTCATGTACACCTAGTTTGTCAAAACCTCCAAATGATGTAGCCTTACATATGCCTTATAAGGAAAAATAGATGACAGTTCAATGTAGTTCTGCTCTCCACCTCAAATCCTATGAAACTATATAGTTTCAACTACCACTGACTGCAAAACTATGTACGTACTGGGTATAACCAGTGAATTCTCATCATTCAAGGAAGTTATTTCTGTAAAGACACCAATACTGAACTCATTGCGCCCCCAAAAAATACAGGGGGTAAGGTTCCTATGAGCCCCTCATGTAATTAACAGTAGATCAATACATAGCCTAGCTTTTTACATTGTTTCCATTAAGACACCTTATATATTAATTAACATTGAACTCACAGCTAACACCAGGATAATTCCTGTCTGGGGGCCATTCTGAACTGCAAAATCACCAACATAAAGTTTACAAAATGTGAACATGGCACCAGATAGATCACAAAAAGGGACATTTGGTATGATAGTCAAAAACAAGAAACCACCAATCTCATCCAGGAGAATGTCAGATGACCTGATTTTTGTTGCTCAACACATATCCATGAATGACTGGAAAGTAGCATAAACAGCTATTTGGGGGTTGCAAATGATTTTTGTTCAGCTAGCAAATTTGTGAATACAGAATCCTCAAGTAATTGTTGTTTCTCCTAAAACAACTCCTACAGAATCATAAAGGTCTACTTTGCAGATTTGTTGTCCTCGCCCAGCAATCATGTAAACTTGCTACAACTAACACATTTCCCATAATACTTAATTCCAAACCACCATGTATAAAGCTGTCTATGCAAACCCTATCCATAAAGCTTGTTTTGGGAACTAGTAGGGAACTTCACAGATTAAAAACTACAGCTAAAGCCTGTTCCTTTAGAAGTTCAAAACTAGAAATTTTGTACYAAAAATGTTGAGAAAGATGGTAACAGTCTCTGCCTTCCTTAAAGCACTTTAGTCAATCCTTAGAAGAAATTTTCAGTGAACAATCACTCCCTCCAGGGTATGCCTACAGCAAGACTGTCCACTGGGTGCCCCAGTTTCAGCCAGAGTTGGAGGGTTTAGGTTTGTGTATCTTTTGTTTCAAGACTTGGCAAATTGAAAAACATTCCAGGTCAAGAAGAATCATAAGGCTTCATCATGCATAGCTGTCACTGTCACAAACCAGGGTTTTTATTTTATTCAGAAGACCTGTTTCTAGCATGATCATGAGATAACCAGATATGCAACTGAGAAAGCCAACTTGCAGTAGTATGTAGAATGGGAGAGGGGTTAAAATCAAACCATTTTCAAAAATGCCAACTGCATGGGATCATTAGTTATATGCATATGTCCTGGGCCTAAGGGCAGATGATACACCCATCCTTAAAAAGGATGCTTAAAGCCAAGTCTAGCTTAACATTTAATATAAAAATTATACTAATTATACCATGTTATCTGTTCCCTCTTCTCCAACAAATACAGTGTAGCCACTGTTACTATTTTGTCCCTTGTAAATAAGGGGTTAGCTAATTATCTTCTAGCGTAGAAATCTCAAGTCATAAACTACCATAATTTCAAAAGTTAATGGGTCTTAATTTTTATAAATCAAATGTTAAAAACCATTTAACAATATATATTGGCTCAAGGATTCATATGGAATTCTCAATCCATGAAATACATTACAGTAACTGGCTTTTTTACATATAGTACATTTTTTATGAAAGAATCTTATGCAACAGGTACTCCCATTTTTGCACCATTAAGATTACCTATTTACACATGCTCATTACCAAGATAAATAAATTAAAATAAACAYAACCATGCACTGTTTAAGGAATTTTTATTAAAGCAAGAATTTTATAATCCAAATTACGTTTCCTTGCTCAGTTATCAATTCTGTTACTTAAAACAGAACTGACATCCTGAGCTATTCCACAGTAAAGAATTACAAAATTAAAGAAAGGAATGCTTTAAATTTTTGTACTTTGCTGAAAATTCTTTTTCCCAGGGTCTATAAAACATTAATTTGTTTTTATATTTTACTATTTTTTTGTGATTTTTTAAATTTTTTTTTTGTTGTTGCAATCAAGTAATCTAGGACTAGCACTGTTTGCTAGACCTGGCATTTGCTCGGTACATAAGGTTCAAAGTTTCCTTTCCTTTTTTTATTTATTTTATATTTTGCAATGTTTTTTTTCCATAATATTTAAGTTTTTCGATGTTTAGATAATTTTTCTTCGGTGAAGCACGAGTTTCTTTTCGTGGTCCCTGATCAATCTGAAAATGTAATATAAAAAAATTAGGAAGAAAAATACTGGTATTTGTCAGTATCAAATAAAAAAGCCCTTGGCCAAATTTCTATAGTTTTACTGGAAAACAACCATACTCATTCCATACCATCCATAGCTACTTTTATAACATTAAAATAGAAAAATTCTTATAGAYACAACATGTCTCACAAAACCTGATCCTTTAACAAAAAGCACTAGCAAACCCAAGGTCCCAGATCCTAGCTGTACACAGCTGTAAAGCTATTCTTATATCCTGGGAATAATGACAGGCAATTATGGTAAAGGTCCAAGGACAACTATTGTGTCCACCACCCAATAAAGACAGCTTATAAAGTTCACAATACAAAAATCTCAAAGTACGGGGATTTAAAAAATGCTAGCCATGATCAGGGTTAACAGGTGAATATTCCATTAATTCTTTATATATTTTTAAAAACTAGGAACACATAAATTACTTGGAATTGCATTTTTTTTTTGCTATGTATGCTTCAAAACATCCTCAGCAAACTTTTATAGAAGATGAAGGAAGCCGGGCACGCTGGCACATGCCTGTAATTACAGTGGCTCAGGACGCTGAGAATTCTGAGTTCAAAGCCAGTTTCAGCAACGGTGAGGTGCTAACCAATTCAGGGAGACCCTCTCTCTTGATAAAATACAAAATATGACTGGAGATGTGGCTCAGTGGTCAAGTATCCTGAGTTCAATTCCTGATACAAAAAAAAAAAAACAAAAAAAAAACAAAAAACCCACAAAAGAGTAAACTCACTTTAAACTGTTGGAACACCAGTGGCACTGTTAACTGCTTTCTGGGCAGCCTCTTTAGCTTGGTGGGCTTGTAGTACAGCTACAGCTTCATCAACCTAATGAAAGAACCAAACAACAAAATGGTTCAGGAAAGGAGTCAAATGAAAATAAAAGTTCTAAAAGACAAACTCTTATCCTCAGATGAAGATTGGAAAGAACTGATGATATAAGCAGCAGTCATTAAGGATGCTGGAGCTAAACTGAATGCCATCTACCAGTGGTGTGAACACTGAGCCCAACATTCAACTTCTCTTCTTGTTTCCCTATTTACAAAACGAGGATAGATAGCCGTCACTATTGTAAGGTTTACAATACTTATAAAGCTCCTATGTCAGTGCATAGCTTGAACAAAGCACTATGTAAATGTTCTATAGAAATAAGTTCCTATAAAAAGCCCTGAAGGACAAGAGGTAACAAGACATATGATAAATTACCTTAGAACGGAGAGACTCTGGAGACTCAAGCATATGAAGAAGTTCTGAATTATCAATCTCCAATAACATGCCAGTGATTTTACCAGCAAGAGTAGGGTGCATGGCTTGAATAAGAGGAAACAGCCGTTCACCTAGGAATGAAAACATTCAAAAGCTCCCTTCAATCAAAAAATTTAAAGACCCCATATTAAACTATTGTTTAGGAATTTTATTTTTGTATATATTATGCTAACCCACAACCCATCATTTCATTCTTTCACCAGGAAGAACAAGATTGACCACAAAGCAGTAATTCTTCTTGGTATCAAGTCTGTCAAGTGATGTTACTTATTCAGCTGTTAAATCTGTGCCGAAAGTAGTCAAAAGTTGTCTTCATATTAGGTTCAAATTCCTTCTTCCAAAAATGGGAGTGGGATCCAAGTTAATTCCCTGTTACCTTATCCATTATCAACAACATACCTGCCCTAGGCATTTCTGAGTTCAGAGTGTCTAAGTGAACTTTGAACTTTTCTAGCCTTTGTTACGGACAAGGTGGGTCAAAGATACTTACCCAACATTTGCTTTTGCTCTTGAGGGGGGGCAGATGCCAACATGGAAGCAGTCAAAGGTTCCTGACCTTGTACATGAACAGCAGGCTAGACATAAAATAGGAAAACTTCTAAGCACAGTAATAGCACAAACAGTCACCAAGAGGTAATCACTGCAGTGATACAGACTGCCATTTAAACGTAATTGAGAAAAACTGAATGAGAACGTGTAAACTGTGGAACGTATAAAAATTAAAAATACAGGCTAAGAAAGCTAGTAACATGTACAAACTCAGAAATGCACTCTCAAATTTAAAAAACCCCATCTTTTATACTTAGTATTTCTTGGATTCATTCATTCTGTTAACCTGTTTGATCCCATGGTTAGAGAAAAGAATTATTAAAATCCACACCTGTTGCATGGTAACTTGTGGCTGTGCATTAAGATGTTGCTGAGGATTGCGGACTCCCGCAGCATATTTATACTGTGGAACGGTGCGGACAGCAGGGGTAGCTGCAGCAGCAGCAGCTGCAGGACGTGGACCCATTGTCTGTGTTGATGTGTTAGCTTTAAAAAAAAAAAAAAAAATTATTCCCCCCCATTTTTTACCATGTTATTTCAAATTAGAGAGCAATTCTTTACAGAAAGGATTAAGACTCACCAACACGCTGTGTTGACATGACTCGTGGAACTTGTGAAGAAGCTGGTCTCATAGTACTAAATGGTGGTCTAGGAGCAGCTGGGCGGATAGCACCGGGCATATTTTGGAATGCTGTATTTAAAGATACAAACATATATTAACTGGAAAACCTCACTGAATGAATGGGTTATGCTGCTTTAGAGTTAAGTTTGCACAAAAGGCTGAAAGTGGTCCATTTTTTAAAAGCTGAGTTTCAAAATTGTTTTCCTAGACTTTTTAGATTAGTGTAAATTATAACACTAATTCATACAATGACAAGTACTTATTAATCTAAGATATGAAAATATTTTATCTCGATTCCACAGAGGAAAACTTAAAGGACAGGACCCTGATACTTAGATTAGATGACTACCTAACCAAATAAAAGATTTGTTCCCAAAATATTCATAAAGGAAAACAGTAGACATTATACTGTCTCACTAAGACAGGAATAATATAGCATTTTATAAAAAACAAAAAAGCTATAACATCAAAAAATAAACACCTGTAACCATAAGTTATGAACAGCAATAATATACCATGGAAACAGAACATGGAAACAGAAGGCTAATTTGATTTGCTTCATGTATATTTTTAATCAAATTCCCAATCTTAATTAAAAGGCTTACGATGAGGTCTGGCACCCTGAGCAGTCCAGCGAGGACTTGGTCTTAGTTGAGCAATTTGGCTAGGAGGATAGTATGCAGCACGGTTCTGAGTCTGCAAAAACAAGCAAATAAAATGTATGTATTAATTTTATGAAAAAAAAATGCAACTAGTTATCCATTTTCAAACACACAGCCTCACACTCTATTAGCATTTTCCCAATTCAATCATAATCCACAGTAGGTTTTATTATTTTGGAAGACACAAAACATATTAAGCAATGATCAAACATGAAAACCTACCTGTGGGATAGCTGCCATGAAGTAACCTGAAGGAGGTGCTGGCTGGTAGGGGTTGATTACAGGGTTGGGCACAGCTCGTACACTTGCCATTCTCTGCATATACTGATTAGTGAGGTGAGCCTGGCGCTCTTCTTTGCGCTGAGCTAAAGCTACATATAGTGGCTTGGTGGCCACAATTCTACCATTCATTTCTGTAACTGCTTTTGTGGCTTCTTCTGGGGAGGAGAAACATACAAAACCAAACCCTTTGCTGCGACCACCCTCCATCATAACCTATTAAAAAATAAATAAAAAATAAAGTTAATGTAATGGTAGGATGAAGTAGTAAAAAGTACTACCAATTAAGAATCAATTTTAATCAATGAATCATGTATCTAAATTCTGTTAAGGCTGTAATCCTATTAATCCCTTGAGTTCATTAATTAATTCTTCCTCAATATCCAAATACTATACATATACATTTTCCTAGCCAAGCAAGAAAACTGGAAGAAATAGAGAGGCACAGCAGTAACTTTTTGAGATTTCAGATGTTTAATATTAATTCCAAGATTATTTATTGAATAGTAGTGATAATGTGAGATAATAAAATACTTACAATATTTTATAATAATAAAAAAATAAAATACTTACAAAATWAAACAAAGGACTAACATAAAATGTTCTCTTAAAAAATACATCTAACCTAATATAGAATAATGCAAAGGCAAAACTAGTGAACACAAGAGCACACCTCATTAAATAAAAAAAACAATGTGAGAAGATGAGATCCTACTTTCTACTCAATTGAAAATTCTGTCAAGAAACAAGACCAGTGCAAATTTGTTTCCCCTTTTTGGCATAAATTGGCTGTCTCAATTTTAAATATCCATGCCATATAAATAGCAATTCCAACTCTATAAACTTAGATGTAAGAATGTTCATTAGGGCAATGGTTCTAATAGTAGAAACATGAAAAACCACCTACATGTTTATCCAAACAAGTAACAATATACAGATTTTCCATACTGTTCAGACTTTTTTTTATATATGTATAAACAGTTTTTAGAAAAAGGAGTCATACTACACGATTTGTCTTTTCATATAATGATAGATATTGATTTGTATTTAAGGTATTTTTTTCACCTTTATTGCTAAAAGCCAGGTACGGAATTTCCAATATGGAAATCAGAAGAGATTCTTTTGCAGACTGAATATGGGGAATAGAGGGCTTTTCTTTCTTATTTTACCCTTTTATTCTGCTTGGTTAAAACTTTCTAGTAAGCATTAACAAATGATCTCCTGTTCCAGAATAAATTCTTACAACCTTTCACCTCCCTGCAAAGTGAGAGTATAATCCACAAAGGACTTAAAACATGCATGCTTTATATAATCAAAAGAAACTGATACACAATATTCAATTTAAATTTAAACTTTCAGGAAGCATATTAAGGATAGACACTCAAGAATATATTCTATCATATTCAGAGTATTACTAGAAAAGCACAGGCTGAACCATAAAACAAATATGGCACATGCATTTTTTATTTGTATGCATCCACTTCACCTCTTAAAAAAAATAACTTTGTCAATGGGGTTGTGGGGAAAAACTGAGTAAGAAAGACTGCCATGGGGTGAGTAAAAATTTTCCTGTGCCCAGCAAAATTACATACACAAAAAAACTTTGCATAGATAGAGCAGTTCTTGGACACTGAACTTGACACAGGGGATAAAATAATTTCAAGACCCCAGAGATCCCTAAGTCTCCCATGTTCCAGGCACTTGGCATTCTTTACTTCTAAGAAAACAAATACTTCCTACTCTGACTCTAGCTTCTACTTTGGGGAATATTTTATCCAACTATAAGTTAAAAACTGTAATAGAAAATAGATAAAAACATGTAGAAGTGAAATTTTTAAATCAAAATTTCAGAGTTTGAACTAGACTACTACTATTGTTTCATAATCTCTGATTTCAGATAAAAGGAAATATGATCGCTATCTTCACTGCTTGGGGTTTGACTACTCAGACTGACTCATGGGAATGAAAATATCAGAACAGTAAAAAACATTAAAAAACATAACTTTCACCTTTGCACTAGTGATTGTACCAAATGGAGAAAACTCTTTCCGGAGACGTTCATCATCAATACCATCATCAAGGTTTTTCACATAAAGGTTAACACCCTAAAAAGAAGGGGGCGAAAGAAAAACTGAAGAAAAATTTTAAAAATCCACCACAATGGTACCTAAGCAAACCTCCTATTCCTTTATCCCATTTCTTCTTTCCCCTCTCAAACCCTCAGTTACCTGGAAGTAACTGAAATGAACGTAAAATAGGTTTCCTCATCCCTGTCTTATTTTGCTTATTCAATTAAAAATGAACCTGGTATCTGGTGATCCTATCTTGCTTCATCTGTTCAAATTTGCGCTTTAGTTCCGTCTGCCGTTCCACTTTTTTCTGAGCTCGACCAACATAAATTTGTTTTCCGTTGAGCTCCTTTCCATTCATTTCATCCACAGCCTTACAGGAATCATAAACATTTAAATTAATAATTTGTAATATAAAAGCTCATTCTTAACAAGTAGAATTTGTGAGATTACTAAGTTAAAGACAACCCATCCCCAATCTTGAGGTTTGAGGACAATATAGGTTCCCAATTTATATTCTTGAACTCATGCATATATGCAAACCGAGTACAAGAATATGAAAATAGCCATTGGTACATGCACATAAACTTCAACAAAAAATTAACTCTATACCCCCCCTTACTGTAAGGGTACAGGAAGACCACACTACATTTAATTATTATATTTAAGTCTTACTTTCTGTGCATCTTCATGCCTTTCAAAGCTTACAAATCCAAATCCTTTGGATTTTCCACTTTCATCAGTCATTACTTTCACACTTAAGGCAGGTCCTAAAAAATGTTTTTAATAATTCAAAGATATTCCACACAAAATGTTCATATATTTCACATCGCAACAGACAAAAACAATGGCATGGGGGAAAAGGGGATAAAATAATTTCAAGACCCCAGAGATCCCTAAGTCTCCCATGTTCCAGGCACTTGGTGTTCTTTACTTCTAAGAAAACAAATACTTCCTACTCTGACTCTAGCTTCTACTTTGGGGAATATTTTATCCAACTATAAGTTAAAAACTGAAAGAGTTTCCGGTTTTAGCTAAAAATTTTACATTTCAGAATTAAGAACTAGGAACTCCTGACCCATCTGCTTTTCAATAGGGAGTGGAAGGAGAGAACACAAGGCTGGACCCTCTGGTAAAAAATAACAATTATCTGGAGGAAGAGTCATATCACTAAAGACACATGCTTCTTTTCCTCACCTTTTTCAAGTGGAAAATATTTAAGTGAGATGGGCGGTTATCTCAGTCAAGTAGGGGAAGAAAAAGGTTAAAAATTACATTAGATTATAGAGAATCTAGAAGATATACAGGCACAGGTAGACTCTTTCATTTAATGTACCTCTATTATGTAAAACAAAATATCCAAATAGTTACATACTGGTAGTCAACTCACAAGCATGAATTTTTTGGATTAAGTGATAAAACACAATAATCCAATTGTAGGAATAACTTCTAATTTTTAAAGATTTAGATATAGGACATGAAATATACAAAAGGATTTGGACTAAAGAAGACTTAGGGTAATATATGAATCATGACATCCGTTATCTTCTGTATCTTACATGATTTATCTTTATGCAGAGTAACTGTTTGCTTAAAGGAAGGTTCAATATGGCATGCTAATCCGGCAACAAAAAAAGTTATCAATTTCCTAATTACTTGAAGTACCACCTCTAAATTCAACAGGAGGAAAGCAAAGACTGAGGCCAAGTAAATTATCTGCAAATGTACAATAAAAATATTCATTTTCTGATCTGTTAACTCCATTAACCCAAAGTAAGGCTGATTAGTAAGTTTGATGAAGTTACTTTGAAAAGCAAGGAAAAAATATTTTAACATCTCATATATGCAGATGGCCACCTTTGGCTTCATCTTTGAATGGGATTATTTTTAAATTGCTCAAAAATGATGATATTGCAACTGGCCCAATAGCCTAACTAGGATACCTGTTAACTAGACACTGAATTCCATTATAAACTGGCTTCATCAAATACTTGCCTCTGATGAGATGGGACCCTATTAGGGCCTAAATTCCAGCATCTTAATGGTACAAAGCCTTTAAAAAACTAATTTTTCAGTCACACCTTACTGTGCTAATCTAATGCTATTAACCTTTAAACTGGATAGAATTCTACTTATATGATACTTTATAGTATAATGATCTGCAGCTTAATCTAAGTATCTATTAGTATTTTCAAGTATTTGGTCTCATTTCATTTACTTTTTAGTATCAATATCAGTCAACATTAAATGTTGAGCAGTTACTCAGAACTCCAAGTGTAAAAATTTAATTCAGACACATTACCAAACTTGCCAAAGAGATCCTTAAGGCGCTCATCATCCATGTCTTCTCCAAAATTCTTGATGTAAACATTGGTGAACTCTTTTGCCCTAGCTCCAAGTTCTGCTTCTCGTTCTTTACGAGATTTAAATCGTCCAACAAATCTAAAATATGTAAGGACTATGACATTAGGTTCTGTTAATTAAGTCTGATGGTTAGTTTCAAAATTGTTATTGAGAATTTTCATAACTTCTAATAAAAATCACATTACACGTAAATAGGAACTTAAGACATTAAAACATGAAATACATAAAAAAGAAACTTTTAACTACAACCACAATACAAAAATGTTTCTCTTAACACACACTTCTGTTCTCTCTGGCTAATCCAGGTCTATCAATACAAGTAATTGTGTGTGACCATGTCAATCAAGAGACCTAAATAAAAGCTTTCATGATTGCTATTTTAAAGTGTCTCTTGTACTTTATTTGCCATATCCTAAAACATAAATTTAAACTTCCTAATTCTGTACTTGTATTTCTAGAATGCAAATGACTGACATAACTGAAGTATATTACCAACAGCATGCTTTTAAAAACAGTTTTCCCAATATAAAAACAGTAATGTTATGAAATACTGTAATACATAGCAAAGTACAGGGGGGAAAAAAGCTATAATTCCATTCAAATTGTGTCTTTTTGCCCTCTGTTCAAAAATATTCATTTATGGAAATAAGAGTTCTCTTTTATCCTCTTCAAAAATAAGTTGGAGCTTCTCCATGCTCTTGGTTTCATAAATGTTCACTGTAAACATTGCCAATTTCTGCTCTTGCAATTTGTTCCTAGGACAGAGTCATAGGAATCATAGTTCAAACGGAATATAAATTATCTTTTTTTGGTACTAGGGATTGAATCCAATGGTGTTCCATGGCTGAGTTACATACCCAAACTTTTTTTCTTTTTAATTATGGAAGACAAGGTCTCACTAAGCTGCTTAGGGTGTCACTAAATTGCTGAGGATGGCATTGAACTTGTATCCCATTGCCTCAAGCTTCCGGAGTCACTGAAATTTTACAGTCATGGTTTCCCGTGCCCAACCCATAAGTGAATTTATAATTCTACATAGTGAAACACTATTTTCCATAACAGTTACATTATTATATACTCAAAATCAGTCTTTATATCCGGATCTTGTCAGTGATGAATGTGCCTTTAATTTTTTCCCCTGAAGTTATGATAACAAGCATTTCAATTGTAGATATAAGGTGAGTAACCTTTATTTGAAATTCTTAGGACCATAAGTGGTTTCATTTAGCATTGGAGATTGAACCCAAGAATGCTTTGCCACTTAAATACATACCACCTTTTTAAGGGGAAAAAAAAAAAAAGACATGGTCTAAGTTGTTTAGGGCCTTACTAAATTTTGATAACCCTGGCCTTGAGCTTGGAATCTTTCTGCCTCAATCTTTCTGGAACTAGAGGAATGTGCCATCATTCCTGATGCAGAAGTTGTCTTAAAATCTGGAATATCTTATGGACTTCACTAGTTAAGCATCCCCTAAAATGAATGAAATATGTCAAAATTGGATTTGTTGTCATGTTGGTGGAGAGTGTTTCAGATTTCAGAGATTTTTGAGTTAGGGATGCTCAACCTATACAAATGATGCTGAATATCTCTCATTTGCCCAGATGATTAAAAGAAGTAACTGGCATTTAAAATAAATAGCCTTGTAGTTTTAATCAGTGCCATTACAGTTTGCAACCTTTAATCAATATTTCAAGAAAGATTAATCACAAATCAGACTTAACTCTGCTTCATTTATAATTTGATCATAAATAGTGGCAGTCCCAGCAATATGGTCATACAGAATGGGCTGAGTGCAGACTACTCAGTGTATAGGTCAGCCCATCTGTCAATAACATTGTGTAAAATTAAATTATTTTAGCCACRGTTTCCTCAAATATAAAACGGACTAATTTAATTAGTATCAGAGGAAAGTTTGCCTGGATTTTGAATTTTTCAAAAATACATTTATTTTGGAAAAGCTTTATATCCCCATTTATCTTCTATTTCTTTTTGGTTTAAAGGTTGACCAATTACATTAAACCCACCATTATTTGTATGTTACACTGAATGTGGAGAAAATACAATTATAAAACCTATCAAATATGGTTTATTAATTTCTACCATTTCTTTATTAAGAGCACAAACATGCTAACTTTTAAAATGGGCCTGGAACCATTAAAAGCATATTGAAAATACAAACTAAATCTCTATACTTACACTTTGCGATCATTTAGAAGCATTCCATTCATTTTTTCAATAGCTCTTTCGGCTGCTTCCTGTGTCTCAAAATGTACAAATCCATAGCCCTTGGAACCATTTTCATCACAAACCACCTAGGGAAAAAATGCATAGCCACTTCTCATTATTTGCTATTGATTTAACATTTTTCCAGTGTGCAGAGATAATTTGTTAGTGACTAACCCCAGATATTTTGGAAATAAAGACAGCCATTAACAGCACAGTTGCTATTTTAAGGACTAAACTAAGGTAGCTAAACACTGTGAATGTTTACCTGTCACATTTTTGCTTACCTTACATGAAAGGATGTTACCAAAAGCAGAAAATGTATCATACAGTGCTTTATTATCAATGGATTTGTCCAAATTTTTAATGAATATGTTGCCTACTCCACTTTTGCGAAGCGATGGATCGCGCTGAGACCACATGATGCGTACTGGCTTGCCCTTTATAACATCAAAATTCATGGTGTCCAAAGCACGCTCCGCTGTAAGAAAAAAAATTTCTGAGTGAATATTACTGTAAAAACTTTGGCCTTGTAAGTTTTTATTACTGTAAAAACTTCAAGATGGTTGGACTTTTCAAGTACTATACCCTAGTCTAGCTATACATTGTATAATGCAAAAAGAAAAATAATCAGAAGCCTCAGACTTCACATATGAAAGAATGGCATATTGATAATGTATTTGTGAAACAATCTTCCCTCAAATGCCATTAAGTTTAAAAGCACCTTTTTGTTCCTAGGCATCATAAAACAGAGATTCCTTCTCATACAATCTGTTAAAAGCAACACAAAAGAYTAGGCAATTGTACATTATCAATAGGCTGAAAACAGTTTCTGGACGTAATCACTTCTTCCTATTTGTCAAAACTGGTCATTCCATTGCTCATCACTGCCAACAGTTCACTCAAAAAACAAAAATTAGTTCCCGAATTTGGATTTTCATAACACAACTACCTATTTACCATGGAAAGAAATGTAAAGCTACAGCAAGATCTGAATAATGTCTAATTTTTGGACATACTGATTGCATAATAATCTCATAATTTTTGAATATCTTGATCTACAATAGATACAACTCACTTTTAACACTTTCTTGACACACAAAATTAACTTTATCTTAGCCTCTGGTTTATTTAACAAGTGACAATTTACTCAAGTTTTTCTGTATAGTGCTAGAAAATTTGAAAATCTATCCTACAATTAATTTTGGAATCTGTGAAAGCTTGTATGTGCACTTCTACCCATTAAAGAAACACTAAAAACTAAATAGAAAAACATAACTTAGGTAAAAAGACTAATCTCTATAAAAATAGTCCATTTGAAGCATTGAAACAACTTGACAAATTCCATGCTAACGTTAACGTAAAGTTATTGATGGGACAAAATTTCCAGCAACTTTCTATAAATAAAAGTTCCAGCTTCTAGAATATCCTGATAATCAGCTGTCAGCTCATTATCAATTGACCACACCTACTCAGCTCCCCCAGTTTTTTTTTTTTTTTAGCTGACTGTGCTTGAGAGTCTTTTGAATGAGTCACCTCTTCCTGTTAAATGGAATACTGGTCACTTTCTGAGGCTATTCCATCAGTGCAGCAATATTTCTTTTTTTTAAAGGAAATAGAAAAACTACTTGGAAAGATGATAAATTGTACCTATACAAATCCCAAGAAATAAAAAAAATAGATTTTTGGGATTTAAAAGTGTGACACTTAAAAAAAAAAAAACTTTCAAGTTACCATGTTTCTAGAATTCATCTATTTATTTTTTACCAAGTTTTTATGTTGTGATTACTTGCTGCAAAAGGTATCTTCCCTAATCTTATATCCAGTGATATATACTACTCAGACTTCAGAACTGTTATGAAGTGATACTTGAAGTGACTGTCTGCAGAGCAAAAGGGCAGGAAAACTGCAGTGCAGTTCTACAACAACTTCTGGTTCCTTGTCACTCAATATTCCGCCTTACCCAAAATCTCAGTATAAACGCTGTCTATTGAAAAACTCATTAACTAATTGAACTTAAGTTTATTTCTATAAATGAAAATAAATATGGAGGGGGCATAATTGGGTCAGATATAAAACTCTTGGTCAGACCCTACCTTTATCAAAATTTGTTAACTCTTTTTAACTTTAAAATAAAAATACAAAACTATTTCCATCTATTCTGTAYCCAATCATTTCAAGATTCACGACACTCTGGATCATTTTAAAAATAAAAAGAAACTTGAACTATTTGAGTTAATGGTCAGTCCCCCATATTACACTAATGAGTGCCATTTACAGCCAAAACTAGCTAATATATCTAAAGAAAAACTCCTTAAAACCACAGGAGCTATTTCAGGAWAAAGAAAAAAAAATCACGTACATATATGCACAGAACACATTACCAGTACTATAAACTAAGGACCAATTTGATAAAACTGACCTAAATTGTCTGGGAAACTGTCATTTAAAAGATTTTCTTCCATATCCCCTCCTCCCATCACCCTACATTTAGTGCAAGAAAAATGCTTGTCTAGGGGAAAACCCCAAATTCATGTCCCACTGGTCATTTGCGTTTCATCAATCACTAAATCCTTTAAAAAAAAAAAACAAAAAACCACAAACCTGAGGACCACCACCACACATTACCTTATTAACTTTATTCTAAGGCCTTGTGGTCGTCCCCTGCCAACCCTAGCTATTGGACCAGTAGCAGAACAGGCCTTGGGCCTGTGAGGTTACAGGGTTCAACACGTGGTATTTTTCGAGCACTGAATTGCACTTCCTTCAGAGACCCGGGCGCCGGCCAGAGCCCTGGGTGGTGTCAGCGCCTACACCTACTCCCTCAGAAAGGTGCTCAGCGACCCGCACCCCAGAATCCCGCGGTTACTGGCGGGAGCGCAGTAGAAGAAGCGTATTTCTCCCACCCCCCTGGCGCGTCATCACCCTAAAGTTTGAGAGCGGCTGAAGACGAGAAAATGGTCGCAAAGGAGGAAGTGGCCGGGCATGCAAGGGGCGTGCGGCTGCCGGCTGCCCCCGGGCAGAGTAACGTGGCTCCGGGAGACACAGTCAGGGGTGCCCGCGCCCGAGCGTCTCCCCTCCGGTCCTCGGGGACTGACATGCCTTCCTGCTCCCCTCCCCGAGCCCGCCGGCCTAGCCACCCGCCTCCTTCCGAGCCTCATGGCCGCCCGCCCGCCGCCCTCCGGGCCTCGCTCTCACCGTCCGCCGGCTGCTGGAAGTTCACATACGCGTAGCCCAAGGAGCGGCGGGTGATCATGTCCCTGCAGACCCGGATGGAGAGGATGGGCCCGGCCGGGCTGAACTTCTCGTAGAGCATCGCCTCGGTCACGTCGGGGTGTAGGTCCCCCACGTAGAGCGAGGCCATGGGGTAGCTGGGGGCGCTGGGGTTCATCTCGGCACGGCTGCCCGCAGGGCCACAGGCCGCGACCTTTCCGTGAGAGGAGGAGAGCGAGTGCTGGGGCCGGGGGCCGGAGCCGGGGGGAGGGGAGCGGGGGCAAGCGCAGAGGGACAAAAATCAACCGGAATCGAAAACTACTCAACGGCCGCAGAACGGGGTCGATCAGCTGCCGCGGGCGGAGGGCTGCGGGCTGGGAGCGAGGCTGGCGGTGTCGGGTCCGGGCGGCGGGAAGGCCTCGGTCTCTTGGTTCCTTCTTGGAGCTGCTGCGGGGCCGCGGGCGGGCGGGTCGGTCTCGGCTGCTTCACCGGGTTATTTTATAAAAGAGGAAGAAAAAAAATAAAAGTCTCCGGCGGGGGAGACGCGGATTTTTTGTAAATTTTTTTTGGGTTTTTTAAAAGATTTTTTTAGATTTTTTTTGGATTTTTTAATAATAAATGTGTGTTCCGAGCCCGGAGCACACACTCCGCACTCTCAGCACTAACCGCCGGGGAGAAGGGGAAGCACCGCCTCCTGCACCCTCTACTTATACCCCCCGCCGCACTCGCCCCGCCCCCGCGCGTCTGACGCCAGGGCCCTACGCGAGCGTCGGCGCCGGAGGAGGAGGAGAAAAGGAGGCGAGGGGGCGGAGGGAAGAGAAAACAGGAGGAGGAAAAAGCAGAGAGGAAGGGAGAGGTGGCGGCGGCGGCTGCTGCGGGTGTGGGGGTGGGGCTAGGGCGGAGGGGCGGGGTTTCTGCGCACGCGCCGCGTCCGGGGGCGGGGCCACGCTGCGTAGGGCCGTGGGGGAGGGGAGGGCCGCTCGCGGGCGGTCCTCGGAGGAGTCGCTGGGACGGCCCCTCTTCGCGCACACCCCGCCCCCACCTCCACCGGGAGGAGCGTTAACCCGTCACCGCGGCGGTGGGCGGTGCGCGGGGCTTCCGGGTTCCTCAGCGCCAACCTCCCCCCACGTGCGCGGTCGACAGGGCCTTCTTCCCGCCGCTGCCACCCGGCTCCACTCGCTCGGATCCCGAGGGAGGCTGGGCACCAGTGGGCCGGTGTGATCCCCTGCAGGCCCAGTTTCCGAAACGTGCGTGGAGGGAGCCGGGGTGGCTGTCCCTTTCTCCTACCCGGACCGCACTACGAGTCCCAGCGGGCAGCGCCGCCGCGCGCGTCGGCAGCAGAAGCGATGCCTGCTGGGAGCTGGAGTTCCCAACGGCCGCGACGCTCGCTGACCCCAACTGGCCACGGGTGCGGGCCGCCGGCTCGGGGACCCCAACCGTCCGGGGCGCTGGATCCTTGTCGTCGCCCTGCGGCACGCCCTAGAGGAGGGGGAGGGGGTTCCTCGTCTTTCTTGTCCTCTGGTCTCGGACCCCAGTTCTCCGACTGCCCACTGGATGCTGTTTGTTCATCAGAGTGGTTTTAATTTGGGAAAATTGCGTTGGGAGACTTTGGTCGCTTAATACTTTAAGGTGCTCTGTTGAAATCATTGAGTCGTGCTGATTTTGCCAGACATTTCTGTGTAGTGGAAAATAGGAATCGAGAAGTCTGTTTTTCCTTAAAATTATGAGTTTCTCACAATCACTTGTATAGGCACCAAAGTCCTGCAACCAGACATAATTAGGAATAATCCAAACTACTACAATTATAATACATGTTTAAAACAATTTTGTACATTAGTTATAGGCTTTAATAGAAATGCTAAATATAATTAATTGACAGTCATAATAGTGCTAGCTTTAGGAATTACATTAAGTCAACACATAAATTCCACTTTAAAATAGTAATGTGCTTTTACAGTTTTTAAAGCCCTTGCATAAACATCCAATCACTTGACAGCAATCTTGTGTGGGAGGTGGAATAAGTAGTAATAAATTTATTTTACTGTTAGGAGAACTGTCTCAAGTTAAATGATTGCTCAATTTATTCTTTAATTCGATAAACGATAATGCATTCGTACTATTATTGCCTGGTATGGACCACACACTTTGTTCTCATTTAAATTAGAATGTAAACCAACAGAATCCTCTAAGTGCTATTTTTCTCTTATCTTGGAAGAGGATAATATTTTTGAAAAAACATGTTACCCCATGTGCTTTACAAGGCAAAACAGCAAAACTTGGGACTGTACTTTAGAAAGACACCCATTACTAAACAATAAGCCACTGTTCAGTCTTTCAGAACTCTGTGGTTAAAATCAATCCGTCAGTATATTCGTCAAATACCATCAAGTGGAGAGTACTGTGTTTTTAAGAAAGATGACAGACCTAAACAAATTTTTGTCCTCATGAGGTAACTATATAAACATTAAAATCAGTGCATTTATCAGGTTGCGTCAATTTTCTGTTAAGTTCTAAATTGGTTTTCTTCAAAATAAAACGTTGAAAATTCCATGATTATGGTTTAAAAGAAAGCATGAATTCATTTTAGTATTTTTGTTATGTTACCGAACTGAGGCAATATTAAAAGCTAAAAGGGTAAAGGGAATCACCTCCAATAACTTGGCAAGATTATGCCAAAAATTAAAGCTGCCAAAACCATACATAATTAATTACTAAAGATATATCCAAACACAATGGCCTACATCTTAATTCCAGCTACTCAGGAGGCTGAGGCAGGAAGATTACAAGTTCCAGGCCAACCTGGGCAGGCCTGCCTAAACCTCCTGAGTTCCTGGGATTACAGGCATGCACCACTGTGTGGATTTGGAACATTTTTCCATAGAGCAAGAGTTTGGCAAGCACTGTCTAGGGTGGGTTGAATACTCTAGTCATCAGAGTGTCTTCCCTCAGGTTTCACCAGAGCCTGGATTAAATAACTGTTGTAAGACTTCTTTGTTATAAATCCATTTTGTACAAACAAACTTCCAATTGATAAATCCAATTAATAATTCAGCCTCCAGGGCAGTTTGGTAGGAAATAGAGGCCCTGCGGGTTGATAGAAACATTCTAGTCATTAGAAAGACATATTGTTTCTTTCTAAATTAATACTTTGGGAAGGGAGCTGGTCCACAGGATTATTTAGCTGCTGTGGTTCTTGACATTTAGTGGATGCTATTGTTATATTTTAGGAAGGTACAGTTTAGTATGTGCAAGTGAAGCTAGAGGCAGAATTCATCCCTTTAGGAAAAGAGCTGGTAGAATCAGGAGAGGGAGTAAGAGCCCATCCCAGGTGGGATTTGGAACTAGAACCAAGGACCTGTTCCTTTGATCTATCAATCATTCTTCTCACCTCCATCCAGCACCTCTCTCTCATATTAGAAACTTGTCTTGTGGATCAGAAAGAAAACAAACCTTTCTTTACTAACATGTTCCTCTTTCATTCACTGTCTTTAACAGCCACATTTTTAAAAAATTTCTACTCTCCTGTCTTTTCTTGATTCCTCAACCTACTATAATATGGCTTCCTTTACCTCCACTCCATCCACCCATCAATAGCCACCAATGATCTTGTTTCTGTTTGAGAAATCCTGTGGACTTTATTCAGGTTCATTTTACCTAATGTTTGTAGAATTTGCCCCTGTTTTCTTCCATTCTTTTTAATACATTCTCTTGGCTTCTGGGTTCTGTCTAACTCATGAAATGCTCATTTCTAGTAACTTTTCCCTGACCACCAGATTGCGCTGAGTACTCTTCCTGTGGACTTTACTCTGACTACTCCTCTGCCACAACATTTACTATATGACATTAAAATAAAATGTTCATGAGCTGCCTCCTAAAATAAGTTGTAAGCCCCATAAAAGAGTCTATGTCATATTTATCTATATTCCTATCACATAACAAAAAACCTGGTACCCTGGAGTTTTGTTTTACCTCAAGGAGAAGTCCAGCTAGGCTTTTGAACTAATTATTGATAATGGGCTAATAGGGAGGTTCTTCAATCTGTTGTTCCTAGGGGTACCTAGGGCCCTGGGGTTGCAGCATACTACTTCCGGGCTCTACTGGCTATTGCAGGCAGTATTTCCTAACATACTGATTGGGCTCTCATTTCTGGAGCTGAGCTTGTGGGTGGTAGATTTGAGTATTTGAAGTTGGGCAATTAGGAACAGGCAAGGTCTACTGGACAAAAGGAATTTCTGGACCTCTAAAACTGAGGACACTGTACAATGGTGATTCTACTATGCTCTGACACTCATCAGGGGCAATCAGACAATGCCTTCTTGGAATTGAAAAGTGTGATGGTTTCTGATAAAGGAACTAAAGCCACAAGTAAAAGGCAGTGGATGGAATATTGTGCCTTTTTKATTTACTGCTCTCATTTTTCTCCATTTTCTTTCTGTTTTTATTTCTTATTCCTTTAGCCCTGGGGATTTAACCAGAGCAAGGTAGACAAGCACTCTACCACTAAGCCATATCCCCAGCCCTTTAATTTTTTTTTTTTAATTTGAAAAGAAATCTTGCAAAATTGCCCAGGCTGGAAGCAAAAAGGTTTATTTTGACTCAGAGTTTCAGAGATTTCAGTCCATGATGAGTTGGTTCTGTTGCCTTGGGCCTGTGGTACCATGTACATCATGGCAGGAGCATGTGGTGGAAGAGGCCTGTTCACCTGGAAAGCAAAGGGAGAGAGAATTAGGAGAGGCCAATTCCTAACATCCCTCAAGAGCACGCTTCCAGTGCCCTAACTTCCTTCCGCAAGGTCCCTAAAGGTTCTATTATCTCTCAGTAGCAACATGGGCAGGGGACCAAGCCCTTCTTTTTGGTCTTAAAAAAAAAAAAAAAAAAGTGCTGTGTTTATCTGCCTTACCTATGGTGTATAACTTGAGATTGCAAACTGTGGCATAGAATAATGTCTTTATATTTTCAGCACTTCACTGTGGTGCCTAACAATGTCTAATAATGTCAATATCATTTAATCAACCTTTTTCTATTTAATGAACACATTCCAAGGCTCTCCAGAGAACTTGTTCACTTGAACTTCATCAGAGATTTATAGATTATTTTCAGGATATATTCAGAATACATCCAGGCTAAAAATTTATAATATTTTTTCATAATGTAAGATAAATTAAAGTTGACTGATCTTATAAAATCTTTAGGTAATTCTTAGAAATATATTTGAGATGGATAATACAGTGAATGTAGAAACCCCTTTCCAGTTGAAGGGTATACTTTCTGTTGTTCCTTGAGACAGAAAAATATTACATGGTGTCTATAAGTCTCAAATTATACAATGCTTCAGAAGATTAGCTACCCTCTATTGGTTTGTGACACTGGTGAGGAACATAACTTCTATAAAAGCAAATCTATAAATTGTCTTGCCCTTTATCAGAAGGATTTCCTATAATGTATCCCCTTCAGATTTTGGATCTTCCTCCATATGCATTATATAATTTTCTCGCACCAATCTAGAAAGAAGGAAAGGGTTTATAAAAATTTGAAATTGAGTCTTGTTCCTAGATTGTGTGCGCAATGATGTGACTCAACACTAGTTTTGAGAAAGTGGCTGCCAGGTAAGAAGGCATAGATTGTGGACCAGAGACCGAGTCATAAACACAAACTCATAAACACAAACAAAATATTGGGA